CCCCCACACACACACATAAATAAATGAATAAAATTTTAAAAAAAGAAAGAAAGAAAAACTAGAAGAGGGCACCTACCCATGTGCCTGATCTTAAGGTAACCAAGAAAAGGGGAGCGGGGAGGTACAAAGTCTTGGGGTAGAATCCGGGCACAGCAGGGGGAGAGCAAGACTTCTGAGCAGAAGCCGACTCTCAGAGCCTGCAGAGATTTCCGAGCCCCTTAGCAGGTGGCTGGACTGGCTCTTTATGTAACCATACCCTGAAGGCTTCTAAGGATAACCAGAAATAGGCACTAGAGCAGCTACAGCAACAGACTTTCTCTTCTCCTGGGATTTGGATAAAAATCAGGACAAATATCTAAAAAGGAAGTAGAACCTGAATTGGTTTCTGCACAAGCAGAAAGGGTGGCTGGAGCTCCCCGCTCCTACCCTCGCCATGGTCCTTGTCACATCCCCAGGACCAGCACATGGAGCAAGGAATCTAGAGCACGGAGATTATCTCTTACCTCAACAGCTTCCTGCAGGCTCCTTTACTGATGGTGCCAGTATGGAACCTGATGGTTTCTGTGTGTTCATCTCTCCATAGAGATCTGAATGTCTACTTTAGGCCAGGTTCTGGGAGGTGCTCAGATTGGGAAAAAAAAAAAAGAAAACATAGTTCTCAGAATTCCTTCTTCAGAAATATGTTTATACCAAGGATTGCCTGTCTGTTCTCTAATAAGCAAAGTTTCTTTTTTTCCCCCCCTTTGTGCTGTGGATCAAACCCAGGCCCATAGGTATGCAGAGCACGCACTCCATGTCTGAGCTACAAACCAGAGGTCTGAATAGTTTGGTTTCCATGGATTCCCCCACTTGTGCCCTTGCCTCATTCCCCAACTAATTCTTCTTCTTGCTCCTGAGGGATTCCCTAAAAAGCATTCCTGAGTTTCCAGCATGGCTAACCTCTCTGCTTTCCTCAGGGTAGCATCGACATGAGCCGTGTGGCTGTGATGGGACATTCGTTTGGAGGGGCCACAGCTATTCTGGCTTTGGCTGAGGAGGCCCAGTTTCGGTGAGTTGTGTGGTAGTGCTATGGCTTTGAGCTCCACATTCCATTCGCTCATTCAGCGAAGATTTATTACAGAAGTATTGTGCCCCAGACACTGTTTAAAGGGCTGAGTAGTCATTGGTGAAGTCAGGAGAAAAGAGCAAGCTGGGCAGAGTTGTGCACATCTGTAATCCTAGCTACTCAAGAGCCTGAAAGGGAAGGATCGCAAGTTCAAGGCCAGCATGGGCAACTTAGTAAGATCTTTTCTCAGAATTAAGAAGGCTTAGGGCTGTAGTTCATTGGTCCTTAGGTACAATCCCCCTTTGCCAGGAAAAGGAAGAAGAGGGTAAGAAGGAAAAAAAAGATTTGATATCATGGAATTATATTATTATGGGAGCAGATAGATTAGAAAAGAAGTTAACAGATAATAAAATCCCCAGTACTTAAGTGTAGTGAGGAAGATGAAACAGGCTGATACATTAGAGTGTCTGGAGGCTTCTCTGGAAAGGAACATAGGTGAGGCTTGATAGGCCTCGGAGATCATTCCAGCCAACAGGAAGAGCCAGTGCAAAGGCTGAGGTGGGGAGAAGCTGGCTGTGTCCTGGTGGGGGCAGTTAATGAGGAAAAGTGATATAAGACATGATCAGAGATTAGCAGGGGCCAGATCACAAGGCTTTGGGGCCACGATAAGGAAATTTAGATTTTTATTCCAAGTATAAAGAACACTAATTGGATTTTTTTTAAAGTATATTTATTTGTGTGTGTGTGTGTGTGTGTGTGTGTGTGTG